ATAGAATAAATACTATTAAAGGAGATCATAGGATGTTATCCGTACTTTATAGAGACACATGACCAAGATTCGAGGGGCAGGGGGACAGGGAAGGCTTCCTGGAGGAAGTAACACTTCAGTTGAGACCTTAAAGATAAGCAGAAGTTATCCAGGCTAAGAGATGGGGGGAGAAAGTATCCTGGCAGAGGGCACAGCCTTTGAAAAGCCTTGAGGTGAAAAAGAAATGAACAGTTCAGTCCTGTTAGGATGTACAACCATCTTTGCAGACCCTGGGGTTCTGTTAAGACAATTAAGCCATAATGCCTTGAGGATCTACTGGGAGAAATAGTTACTCAGATCATTTTCCCCAGGGCTTAGTTCTGTAGAACCCAGCTGAGAAAGTCTTAAGTAGAGACTGTTCAGGATGTGGGGACAGGTGAGGGTGGAGAGAAAAGCAGAAGGATCATAAAGGGCCTGGTAAGTCACATTTGTTTTTTCATTTTGCAATTAAGAAACAGCAGTTATTACTAAATTAACTCATTGGATGGATATAAAACAACACACATGATGAAGAATAAAAATCTAAAACAAAGCACAATAGATGGCATTAAAACATTAAATAAATCCCCTCAGATTTAAATACATTCTGTCTAATCTTAAAGCCTGAGCTTGTCTCAATCATTCCTATAATCAATATTCACTGACCACTAGCTCTGAATGACCACCAGGGAATACACTGGGGAGACAGAGTCCCCGCCTCTCAGGAGCTCAAGGTTCCCGCTGGAGTCTTTCTGACACATCCAACCCACACTGCCTGTCCCATCTTTCAAGGCCTAAAATAATCGTTTCACCACTCACTTCTTTTTGGCATCTACTCATAATCTCTTTGGAGCTGTTATCTAATGTGGCATATGTACAGCATTATTTTTAACTAAATAAACTACTCAAGGACAGAGTCTATGTGTTTTATTTTGTTTCTATTTGTACTATAGAATTAAGCAAGAAACTGAACAGTGTAAAATCTCAAATATTCATTAGATTGCATTCTGCCAAGAATATATATTTATATATATTCTATATGCCTAAGTTTTTAAATCTGAGAACACTTTTGAGACAGGATTGTAAAGAGAAAATAAATGTGATCTTGGAACATGTACATGTACACAAAACTTCGGATCGGAAAACAATCAACAAATACAAAATATCCCTTAGTACAATTAAATAAATACATAAACCTCCACATTTATTTTTACATACTTTAGCACAGAAAGGGGTCAAGGAATTTAAAGAGCAGCCAAAATTATTAAAAGGACAAACTGAAGGACAATCATAATAGCTAATTATCTTAGGCAAATAGTGACCATGAAAAAAAAAGTACAATCAGGCCATCTGCTCAATTAGAAAGGTAAAGATATTTCTGGGATCATGTTCATGGTGAGTGAGAGACTGTGGAACAGGAACAGCTTCATGAAAAGCAATTCTAGAAGACTGTAAAGGGGACAGGGTAAAACTGGAGTTCACACTGTTTCAGGGGAGAACGGAATTACACTGGGCTTTGGAGAAGGAAATGGCAACCCACTCCAGTGTTCTTGCCTGTTGAATCCCATGGACGGAGGAGCCTAGTAGGCTACAGTCCACAGGGTCGCAAAGAGTCGGACACGACTGAGCGACTTCACCTTCACCTTATCTGGTCTAGTCATGACTAATAGACTACATGAGGTCTTATAATGAGGAACTGTCACAAAAGTACAACTAAAGAGCCAGGCCACCCCACGTTAAAAAAACAAGATTAAGAGGGCACTACTGATGAGGTCACACTAGTTCGGGACAATGAAGGCCAGGAGGCATGGTCATAAATCTGTGATTATGATTGGCACACACATTGAACTCAGCTGATTTGAAACACCTGGCCAAAAATGCCTTTACATCAATTATAAAGGAACAGATTACACAAGAGAGGTGGTGTAGCAAAATAACTGAGAACATGAGCTCTGGACGTCAAGACTGCCTGTATTCACAACCCAGCTCTGCTACTTACCAGGTGTGACCTGGGGGCAAATTTCTTAATGCCCTTTATCTCAGGAATCTCCACTAAAAAATGGAGGTAATAACAGGACCTATCTCACAAAATTGTGGCGAAGAATGTAACACGTGAAAATACTCAGGAAACAGAAGGGTCTGGCACATGGCAAGCGGTCAGTAAGTTCTAGCTATAAATATGCTTCTAGAATTCATAAAAGAATTAGGAAAAAAACTGATTTTTTTAAACATTCAAATATATTAATATTTAGGAATGGGAAATCAATGGATGGATACTCACACAATTGGGACACACTCAACTTTAAGGTTAGTGATGTTTGGATGGGATGAACCAGTAAGGCAATGCCCATTTTCCATGTTTTTAACTCAAGAGAGTAACGATTATCAGCTCTGATAACCTTTTTTTTTTTTCATTACTTTTACAAAAGGCAGAGAAGCAATATGAGAAAAGGGGATAGAGAAGACAGAATTAGATTTGCAGGCAAGGTGGTATTCTCAGAAATACCACTGCAATCAAAGGTGCCCAAATGATGAAGTTCCAATTTGGCTGAGGTCTTCTAGGATTTCACATCTATTAAAGATTTCAGATGGGATGGGAAGGAGTCCCAGTATTCCACCTTCAGTTAAGGCACTTTCTTCTTCACCCACTGACCTACACAAAGGTCTTCTTCCAGTGCCAGGCCAGGCTCTTCTTGCCTAAGGGCCTTAGCAGGTTAATTCCCCTTCTGCCTGGAACCCTGTAACTACCTCACCACCCACCTTGTGACTACTTCTTCATCCTTAAATTTCCAACTTCCACTACTCCTGATTCTCTTATTTAAAATAGGTCTCTCAAAAAAAAAAATAAAAAAATAAAATAGGTCTCTCTTCGTATTTTTTGTCTCAGCACCTAGTTGGCTTCCTGCGCAGCCGAGTACCTTTCACAATTTGTAGTTATTTCATACGCTTATTTATTTTTACTATCTTCCCCACTAAATAGCTCCACAATGGTAGAGAACATCTTTATTCATCACATCATCTTCACTTAATCTTAACATTGACTAGCATAAAGTAGGCACTCAATAATATGTTGAATGAATTATGAACCAATGGCCCTAAGGCCCCTTTCAGCTAAAATCAATAACTATTAGATAATATAACAAAAAATATCCAGTGTAAAGGTGGAGGCTTTTATTGATGGGCCTAGGAAGTATCGAAGTGACACCTCACTATGATCAAGCTAACTAAATGGCTCCATTCCAAGAGGTTTAGTCACAACTTGACTGATGTAATATACTAGTGACTATCACCCTCCTCAAACAGTGACTCTGTAAGTTTTGCTTTCAGATTTGCCTTACTCATTTTAACAACTGGAGAACTAGGCCCTAACTTCTAAACATGGAGTGGCTATGTAAGAATTGTCTGAGGAGTTTACTAAAAAGACAGGTTTCTGGACCAAAACTCCAAAGATTCTTATTTAGTACTTGTGTAATACAGCTCTAGAATCCATATGTTTAAAACTTTGTGGGAATTCCCTGGCAGTCCAGTAGTTAGGGCTCTGTGCTTTCACTGCGGAGGAAGAGGGGTTCAATCCCTGGTTGCCGAACTAAGATCCCGCAAATCAATGTGGCCAAAAACAATGCTTATTTTGCAATATGTGTATAGTACACAATTCAAAAGATACAAAAAAGTTTACAGCAAAATCTCCCTTTCATTCCTGTCTCCCAGCCTCAAGTAGTCCTTTTCATAAGCTAACACTGTTACAAATTTTCTTATGTATTCCTCCAGATAACTATTTGCCTAAACAACATGTATCCTTTGCTTCAAACACCCAATTGCATATAGAAAGAACTATTTCAGTTTCATTTTTTCTATTACCATTTAGCAACATATGCTGGAAAGGAAGGTATCTGTATTTTTAACAAGCACCCTAGGTGATTTCTGATAGAAAGCCAAACAGGAATCACTCATTGGCCCAGAGTTAAGTGATTAAGTTCACTCCACTAAGACATGTTAGAAACTTCAAGGACACACAAACTCAAAGGTAGCCTTGCTTACTCGACCTCTCTCCTCTTGTCTCATGGACACGAACTAAAACATTCGCTAATGTCTCCACAGAAGTCAGGAAAAACTAGCCATTCAAATGGATGCTCCCAAACTGTTCAGTTTTCAATTCCCATAATCCTTTCCTGCCCAACAGCACCTGAAATCACAAACCGGACTATTTCTAGGTTACACAAGACATTTTGGTATTTGGGTTATAAAAGAGGATTGGTTTCCGCTAAACTGGGACTGGTTTTGTCTCCTGGTAGTTAAGTAGTTTAATGGAGCACAACCGAAAATACTTCCTTCACTAATCATTACTGACCCAACAGCATCCAAACCTCCAATTGCTTTCTCACCATGTGGGCAAAAGCAATTAACTTAGAAACTGTCGAGAAGACCGCATGAAGTCAAGCCGAACTCGGTGAATTCTCGAGTTCGGAAGCCGGGAGACCCCGACTTTATTCTGTTTGGGGTCGATTAGCGGGGCCCCTGTACAACAGCTCTAGCCTTCTCTCCCCACCTACCCCAGAGACTGCAGGAAGAGTTTCCCTTTGGCGCGGAGCGAAGGCTCTCCGCAGTGTCCCTTTCACCACGCGGGGCACTGCGCGGAAAGACACCTCGCCTCCCTCCGAGGGAGGAGGAGTGTTAAGGGGGCTCCACGAGCGACTCAGGACACCCACCGGGACCCAGAGCCGGCTTCCCCCTCCTCCCAGCTGGAGGGGCTCTGAAGGGCTTGGGGAGGGCGTGACTCCTCCCTCCCCTCTCCCGGGATTCAAACGTGATGACTGCAAAGTGGGGCTTAGAGGGACCCCTCCTCAGACGCACACCTTCTCTTCTCGGGCGTTTCTCCATCCTCTGGGCCTTCCCTTGAGTAGTGACCCAGGCCTGCCCCCCTCGGCCGGCCGTCCCGGAGCCCTCTTGCCCGGTTCCCGCCCGCTCCCCACAGCCCCCCTCACCCAACATGATGGGGCTGAGCCGCCGGGCCAGGCCCTTGGACAGGTCGTACACGTAGAGCTTCACCGGATAGAGATTCGGCGGCTCCATCGGGACCCGTGGCGGCGGCGGCCACGAAGTCCCTCAGGCACCCGGCAGCGGCTTGGACCTTCCCGTACCCGACGGGGCAGGGGAGTGGAGGGAACGGGAGACTGAGCCCCGGCCCGGCCTGAGGGGCGGGGAGAGGCCGCCCTGGGCTGCTCGCGCCCCGGCACCCGCCACCAGCAACGACTACTGTGAGGTGACAGAGCGGGGACGGGCACGATCCGTGCGAAAGACAGCGCGGGGGCGGGGACGCACTTTCGCGCATGTGCGTAGTGTCCTGACGGACGGCGAAAGGCGGGGTTTGGCGGGCGGGGGCGGGGCTTTGCAGACGGCGTGGTGGTAGTTAGGGTCCGGCGTGGAAAGCGCCTTGTGGGAGTGGGCTTGTTTGCTGGACAGGAACCGGGCGCGCTGTGCGTGATGACGTAAGCGGCGTTGATTGGGTGCAAGAACAGGAGCTTGCGCGTGAGCGGCGCCCCGCCTTCTGCCCAAATTGATCGCTTCTTTGAGGTCAACGTAGGTAGGAAGGGGCTGTTCTCTGTTGTTTGTTGCTTGCTGGCCAGGGCTGGCTTCATTCTGCTTTGCCTATTCAGTCTTGCGAGTCCCCCTTAGCCTCGCCGTGGGGCGGTGTCAGCCAGAAGTGTACAGACCCGAGGAGGTGGAGGAGACAGCCTCTGATCTCCGTTTCTTCCTCAGGGGAGAAGGCGGCACCTGGCCTTGGAGGGCCGCTTCCTTTGAGACCTCAGTGGGCATAGCTGGCTAAGGAGTTGGGGAAGATTTGGGGGCGGGATGAGGATAAGTGGTCTGCTAAAAGACGGAGTACCCTGGACTGGGAATCTCCAGTCCACATGATGCCGGAGGCGGGACTGGACCACTAGGTCAGGCTACCCAAGCACACCCATTAGAGGGGTTATCCCGGGCCACCGGCCCTGAATCATCCTTAAGGGATATAGCTCAGGAGAGGCTGCTTCAGGAATGGTCCCCATGCCCGTTACCGTTGCATCTCATTTACCAAGCACTCCAGGCAGTAGGATCCAGCATCTACATTTCTCATAAGTAACCTGTAGCCTTTAGGACAGATCTCAAAGGAGCCTAGGAGTGGATGACTTTTAGGTTTAAATTTACTTTGTTACTGATCTTCGATTTCTTTCACCTAGTGAGCAGTAACAACATGTCAGGGTGGGAATCTTACTACAAAAATCAGGGTGATGAGGAAGAAGAAGAACAAGAAGAGGGCCTTGAAGCAGGTGGTAAGTGACTTTCATTAACATGTACCATTGTGTGTGTGTGACTTTCCCTGCCTATCTCTGCTGGATGACCCTTGTTGCCTCCTGGCCCACCCTTCTCTCCCCAGAGAATCTCCAGTACTTTTCCTCCCTTTGAACTTAGCAGAGCTGCTCTGAAAGTGGAAATGAAAGTTGCTCAGTCATGTCTGACTCTTTGCGACCCCCATGGACTATACAGTCCATGGAATTCTCCAGGCCAGAATATTGGAGTGGGTAGCCGTTCCATTCTCCAGGGGATCTTCACAACCCAGGGGTCGAACCCAGGTCTCCCAGATTGCAGGTCGATTCTTTACCAGCTGAGCCACCAGGGAAGCCCTAGGCACTTTTATTTATGTCCTACTCTAGTCTATGGTACATTCCTAGTCTTAAACTTCTGCTGGGCACTGATAGATTGAGCTCCAATAAATTACACTGAAACATTGGTATTAACGGTCACCTTAGGTGGCTCAGGGAGAAGGCAATGGCACCCCACTCCTGTATTCTTGCCTGGAAAATCCCACTGACGGAAGAGCCTGGTAGGCTGCAGTCCATGGGGTCGTGAAGAGTCGGACACGACTGAGTGACTTCACTTTCACTTTTCACTTTCCTGCATTGGAGAAGGAAATGGCAACCCACTCCAGTGTTCTTGCCTGGAGAATCCCAGGGATGGGGGAGCCTGGTGGGCTGCCATCTCTGGGGTCACACAGTCGTACACAACTGAAGTGACTTAGCAGCAGCAGCAGTAGTAGGTGGCTCAGGTAAGACCCTTCCTCACCCAGGAAAGTAGTTTTTCTCATTCTTGGACCTCAGTGCAAAAGTGCTTTCACCCTACAATAACTGCAGCAACCAAAGAGTAAATGTTAACAACACAGTTACAAGAGTCATTCCCTCACCTTAGCCTGGTGTTTTGGGAGTATGTGTTCAGGCAACACAGTAACACATAGGCCAAAGGAAAAGAAACAAGGGATTCATGTCTGTTGTTCAGTTAATAAGTTACGTCCAACTCTTTGCGACCCCATGGACTATAGTACGCCAGGCTCCCCTGTCCTTCATTGTCTCTCAGAGTTTGCTCACATTCGTGCCCACTGGGGCAGTATGCTCTCTAACCATCTCATCCTCTGCTGCCCCCTTCTCCTTTTGCCTTCAGTCTTTCTCAGCATCAGGGTCTTTTCCAGTGAGTTGGCTTTTTGCATCAGGTGGTCAAAGTATTGGAGCTTCAGCATCAGTGCTTCTAATCAATATTCAGGGTTGATTTCTTTTAGGAAATCATGTACTCTATATACTGGTTAATTTAAGTCCTGGGTAGAAAATTTTAAAGTATTTTTATTAAAAGTGAGAAATATAAAAAATGAAAGATCTTTAATCTACATAATCTACCACCCTTATACAGCCATTACTAGCATTTTGATAATTAGCATATTTCCTTCCTATATCTTTCAGACTATGTATTTCCTAAGTATATGTAGTCTGTTTTTGTTTGTATCTGATTTTTATATAATTGTAATCATAGTGATTATATTTTTTCCTTTTTAATTTATACTTTCAAAATTTATGTTTTTCGAAAAGAATTTTAAACATAACTTTGTGTGCCTTTTTTCTTTACTGTACTATAGATATATCTTTCCATGTAACTGCAAATATAGCCTCTATGACTCATTTTAAATGTGTTGTGATTTTTTTCAGTCTACCTTCCTTTGGACATTTTAGTTTTCAGTTTCTTACTTTAATAAACAACATTGTGGAAATTTTTGCATAGGGTTTTTCCATATCTTATTTTCTTAATATAGATTCCTAAGAAGTAAAATTCATTGGCTCAACGTAGAATTTTTCTTTGAGGTTCTTGACACGTATTGCTATACTGCTTTAGAAAAGATGGGTAAATAAATTTATTGCATTAGGAAGTGGCATAGTCAAAAGGGAGACAACCAGATATTATATGTCTTTTTGTGAAAAACTCAACATCACCTATAATGTAATTATGCCAAAAAAAAAAAAAGAAAGAAAACCAAATCTGATGAAGCCTCTGTAGGTCCTTTGTGGAAAGGACAGAACTATGTTAATCTACATCAAAAGAATATAGTCAAGCAAAATCCAGAAGGTGGAAAACTATATGACATAATATCTAAGTTCTTCAGCAAATAAATTATAAGAGACAAAAGACAGAGGGGCTATCCATGGATTAAGAGGCTTTAAAAACTGTTTTTTGTTTTAAGTCAAAACCAGTGTGTAGGAATGTTGGCTTGGATGATTAAACTATAAAGAAAAATAAATGAAGAATAATTACCAAAAGTCAGGATGGTGGTTACTCTTGGGAGGAAGGTGCGTGTTAAAATTGGAAGGGGACCTGGAGAGGGCTTCAGGTGTTACTGGCAAGATTCAATTTCCTGATGTGTTGATTTTAAGAATGTTCGCTTTTTTTTTTTTGGTTGCACTTCGTGAGCATGGCTTGCCAAATCTTAGTTCTCTGGCCAGGGATTGAACCTGTCCTCAGCAGTGAAAGCATGGAGTCCTAACCACAGGACCACAAAGGAATTCCCTAGGGGTGTTCGTCTTATAATAATTCATCAGGTTATAGTTTTGCTTAATGGGCTTTTTTCTATTTGTTTTACATGAATAATAAACATGATAAATATGAAACAACTGCAAATATTTCCTTCAAATTTTTTCCCCCATAGGAGATTATTCATATTCAGGAAGAGATAGTTTGATTTTCTTGGTTGATGCTTCCAGAGCCATGTTTGAATCTCAGGATGAATATGAGTTGACTCCTTTTGACATGAGCATCCAGGTGAGACTACCTTTTCATTTAATTAAACACAAAAAAGTATTAACACCCCTTTAAAAAATGTGGACTCTTAGAAAAGTTTGTTTGGATTGATAAATGGTGGTTAGCCTCCTAGGATGGCTACCTATACTTGCAGCTGAAAAAGAGTAGCAAGAGTTGGAGAGAAGGCCCATTTTATTTTGGGTTTGAATTTCTGACCCTGGGAGTACATTGCTCCCACCTTCTGTGTTAGCCCTGGTAGTAGAAGTGGGCACCTCTTTCTCTAGAGATGTTTGTGTAAGGGAAGGAATGAAGTTCCAACAGTTATGCTGTGAGATAGGTCCTTTTGTAAGTAATTATGTGGAAACTGAGTATTACTTGTGATTGAGGAAGATTATTACAAGAGGACAAACAGCCTAATTTTTATTTTTGGTTGTGCTGGATCTTCATTGCTGCACATGGGCTTTCTGTAGTTGAAGCGAGGTGGGGCTACCCTCTATTTACACTGCAGGGGCTTCTCATTGCCATGGCTTCTCGTTGCAGAGCACGGGCTCTCGGTCATGCAGGCTCAGTAATTTTGGCTCCTGGGCTCTAGAGCCCGAGCTCAGTAGTTAACGGTACACTGGCTTAGGCCATCCTCGGGATGTGGGATCTTCCTCCACCAGCAACTGGACTCATGTCACCTGCATTGGTAGGAGGATTCTTCTGTTTGTCTATTATTTATTTATTTATTAGGCTGCGTTGGTCTTAGTTGCAGCACTTGAGCTCTCCAGTTGTGCACATGAACTTAGTTGCTCCATGGCGTGTGGGGTCTTAGTTCCGCTACCAGGGATGGAACCCATGTCCTTTGCATTGCAAGGCAAATTCTTAACTACTGGACCCCCAGGGAAGTCCCTGGCAGGAGGATTCTTATCCACTGTACCACCAGGGAAGCCCCGGACAACCTAATTTAGAAATGAGCACAAGACTTGAATATACATTTCTCTAAAGATGTTCAAATGTCCAAAAGCACATGAAAAGATGCTTGACACCTTTAGGCATTAGAGAAGTGCAAACCAAAACCAAAATGAGGTATCACACCCACCAGAACTGGTATAATTAAAAAAAAAAGAACAAAAAGAAGTGTTGGCGAGGATGTGGAGAAATTGGAACCCTCATTCCCACCCACGTTGCAGGTGGGAATATGAAATGGATCAGC